AGACAGTTTTTTAAATTGTTAGTGTGTTCTTTCCCTTGTTATTTTTCTAAACTTTCTCATTTTTGGTACAAAGACAAAATCAAATGAGAATGTTGTGTCATTTATTTTTGTTTGAAGTTCACTTGCGTTAATATTTTATATGCAATCAACGTGGTAATTTTATTTTATTTTTTAGAATGAACACTCGTCGACCATAGATTTTAAAAAGTACTTGTTGGCCGAGTACATCTTGCAGAAAGCCACCTCCAAAGACGACCTGATCGTATTGGCTTTTAAGGTATACTATTTTATGTTTATTTAACGATAATATTATCATACGATGAAACAATTAAAACAAGGAAGTGTGACTTTCGTATGCTCTGAATGAAATTGTGACGCGCTGAAACCGTATTAGAAACGTCAAATATATTGTCGATGTTTATTTATGATTTGTTTCAGTTGTACGGTGAATATTTTGATAAAGAAATGTTCGAGTACGTGTTAAACCTTGTCTACAATCTTTCGAAATCCGAAGCTTCCGTCATTTACAACGAAATGACTGACAAACCCAATGAAATAAGATTGGGTAATTATCGATTTTTCATTAATTTTTTTTTTATATTTCATACGTGTTATTAAGATTATGACAGAATATCATCCGTCAACATTTAATATACAAACTCATGCAATTACTTCGATATGCGTTATAGCGGACTACTTACAATACGGGAAACAGTATCCTGAAAAAATTGAGTCCTTGCAAAACCTCAGTAAGAATTCGGCACCCAGAACCGTAACAGACTTTTCCAGTTGCGGTCAATCGTTCCACGTCGCTATGGACGACGACAAGAAGTATCAATGACATACGGAACATTCTACAAGTACAATTGTACCTGTTGCAGACTGATATTAAAAATATTTTTTTAAGGTTTTATAATATTATACTATTTGTTATACATATACATATTATATWATATTTTGTTACTTATTGTATATTTAAGGAATATTTAGATTTAAGAACTCTCGATGCAGTACGGTATGTGTGAGATGATGTAGGTCATAGTTCTTATATCAAACCTATATACATACATACGTATTGATTGTAAAAATATAAATATCACCTATGTCCTTTGTGCTTATATAGTCTATAGTTTTGGTATCTGTATCATAATAATCTATTATCTTATGTAGTATGCATATATTATATGCAGTGTTTAATGCTGTTACCTATAATACATAATATAATGTTTTTGTGTACTGCGCCTATATATATTACCTACTACTATGCTACTTACGGTGCTTTTACCAGTTATTTAAAAAAATATMAAAATTGTTGAGAATTTATCGCCAAGTTCATACTGACCGATATAATATTATGTTGTATATTGTAATTGTATTATATTATATTATATACCCATACTACTCAGAATGCCACCCGAGATTTCATATTTGTTTACTCTTTATGAGAAAAAATATTAATATTATGATTGTTTATATATTTTATAATACAATAGGTACTATTAAAATGTTTGTCAAAATATGTTTATTTTAAACAACATGTACATGATGATAAGTTAATTCAAAATGAGATTTTTATTATTTCAATTTTCCGCTTTTAATCATGAATAAATATAATACACAAATGAAAAATTAAGTTTTTAACTTTTAAGAAAAATGTTAATATATGATATTTTGTCCTGTGTRTTATCAGAGATTTCTTGACATTTATAATAGTTCATATGTAATAAAAATATAAGACAAAAATGGTTAGCAAATGGATACCGCTATAAATTGCTTTGCTGTACATCAAGCGTCACGTGGGTCACCGTTGTTATGGATTTGTTGAATTTCTATTCAATGGTATTATATCGTTGTGTACAAAAAATTTCATTACTAAATGTATTTTTTAATATTATATCTTTTATATTGCTATTAATGTAATGCATTATATAATAGATTAAATTGATTTTTTCCAAAAACTTTGTGTTTGAAAAAAAAATCTGATGATTGTTTGTAAAAAATAAAATTATACACTCAGTGATTGAATTGGAAAAAAATATGAAGGAGGATTTAAAAAAATAGTAGTACTAATAATATTTTAAATAACTAACCTCGTTTTTTTTTTTTTTTTTAAGAACTTTCAGTATAACTATTATAGTTCAACAATTACAATCTTGATAGATACAGTGATACAATAAGTAATAATTGGTAATTAATAATAATGAGCATATGAWATAATGATAAATAAGATAATGATGCCAGATAAAACTAACCTCGTTATATTGTCTAGTTTAGATATCTAATTTTGTCTGAATTTGAAATTGAAATTCTCAAGTCTGGATTACGGAGGTTTGGGTACGACCACATCAGATAT